CTGTAACGAAGTTTATTAACAGACCCTCACGATTCTGGTTTTGGGATCTTGGACTTAGTTTACCGTTATATTTTAACACAGGTTGGACTATGGCTTCTCGGGCGACCCCGTCTGGTATCGCTTTGGACATTCGTCGAAAGGTGGGTACCAAAATGTAAATCACCGTCTGTAGGAACTATCTAAAAATCTCTGACTAGAAACTAGTCAATAATATATCATTATACTTCAAGTGAGTATAAAGTGAGCGACGATTGTGTTGTGGTGTTTTAACTTTATATCTTCACGGTACAATTCAGTAAGTCTTGTTCAATTATTACATAGCATTCAAAACGTGCGATAGTATTATTTTACAATAAACTGCCGTGGTTTGTGACTTTGTGTTTGAACTGCCCAAACAAGATTACAAAAAGACGAAAAACTTCCTCTACTATAATCTCATGACAAGGCATTTTCGCTTCGAGCATCGAAGTCTTTTTCATATAGTACAGACAAAAACCACGTCGGCTCATTGTAGAATATTACCTACACTGGCCCCCCACGTTTGAGATATCAGCGATATTTCGCATTGTATTTTAAATTGACCGCAATTTGCGTGTTTAAAATTATGCCTTCAAGCCTACATCGCGTTAATTCATTGACATTATATAGATACCATGCGAGGCTTAAACAAACTGTTAAACCATGTGAGTAGTTCAGAATGTCAAGACAGGACCATTCGCTGGCATTCAGGAATATTCTCATGAGAAACCTGTTTCGAAAAGTACTTGAAATGCTGGCGTTCCATATACGAGACGTGAAAACAATTTTTTTAATATATTTTTTCCATGTAAAATTATTGAGCAAAATAAACTTGACTTGACTTGACTTTGAAAGAATTTTATTACGTCCACGCTGTCGTCGTCCGTGTTAAGACTGACCAAGACTGTCTAGAAATCTGTTTGACAGTTCGCAGTTGCGTATGAAACCCAAGATGTTTTTATAGCACCTATTTGCTATCCACAGCTGTATAAATACTGTCGTTTGTTTAGGTTGCCAAATTTTTGCTCAAATTTACACGAATGGTATATTTAGTGCCATAGAGTTTTATATATAATTCCCATATAGTATTTAAGCCCTATTGTATCCACACTTAGCGGGATTTTTGCTAATTATAATATCAACTTTCCCATAAGCTATAGTTATCACAGACGTATAATAGTCTGACAAGCAAGTGTATTTGACGATAGCCTTTTACGGCAGGAGGAAAACACTGTTTGGATTTCGATTTTGACTTTCTTGTGGTTCGGATAATGGCTCGTTAAGCCATGCTGGCGAACAGTATGCATATTTTATTGTTTAAATTAAGGATCTATTACTTTATAATTGGGTTACGGTTGGCTGGTGTTTATAGGACTTAAAGTACTGTATTCTATTTGGGCAGCAATGTTTCGTACTTTTCTGTATGAAGACATTATTGAGACACTTTGGAGTTTGTTGTCAGACTTTACCGGCGGCTGGTTTGAAGGACTATCACATGATTGGTCCAGTCACTCCAGAGTACCCAGAGAAAATCTGTGGTGTTTGGTAGTGTCACTGTACTCTTCTCTGAGATAAACTCTAGAACCTCAGAAGAAATCTCGATCGCTTAAATCAGCTAATCCCATAATCGAATCAATGCAATTATTATAACGTTATTAATACTTAATTGGTTTAAATTTTTCGACAATTTTTTTGCTGGCTGGATTGTTGGAGGTTCAATTTCTGAACTATATATTGTCTAATTTTATAATTTCACCTCAGTCGTATCAAACGAAGACGAGAGCGCATGAGATTTGGCGACCCTGGTTAGCTGTTCTTAATGCTTTCCCAACACTATATCATGTGTTCTATTTAATTAGTTAAAACATAGTTGGAACACTCATCAAACTTTTAAGCCTGCAGCACACGAGAGCTATCTGCTGAGCCAAAAGTTACTCGATCGTGCCTGTTAGCTCAGCCGATAGCTCACCGATCAAACATGTTTGATATGCGAGAAAAGGTTGCATGAGGCATAAAACTCAGTAAAATGTACCCGCACACGGTGAACTATTGGCTGAGCTAACAGGCACGAGTAACTTTTTGCTCTGCAGATAGCTCTCGTGGGCATAGGTGGAAGATGATAGGGCTTTAGACATTTCATTGTGCCCCATGGGCGCTTTGATTTCATATAGGTGGCATCAAGTATAGTATTTTGCCGTTAATCTAGAGCTTGAAATGCCCCCCGTAACAACTCGACAACACTCATCCTCAGGCCTTTAGAAGACTTCCTTAGTACTTTCAGTTTTCGAAATCTCGGTGCAAGTCTCAACGAATTTTTCTCTGGAAGAGAAAGATTCTGAGACGCACAAACGTGACACTGCTCTGACAAGCGTCTAGTCTCCGCGAAAATATTTCGTGCACTTCATAATTGGATAATGACATCCTTATGGCAAAACATGCGGAAAAACGATGAGCATTAATTGCCATAATTGCAACACTTAGTGAAATATTACTTCTACTGACTACTATAAAAGGAATTTGTAATGACAGTTCCGAAACATATAACATGTTAGCAACAACAAGAACGTCTTACATTTTTATCATATTTAGTGTATAAATATTATATTACTAGAAGTTACTATCGCAAGGAAAGTGCTGCCTCATCCTGCTTTCATTATACTGTATAAGCATTTCAAAAACTCATTAATAATTCATGAAGCAATTATCCAATCTTGAGTAAGAAATGAGTCACGTGCATATGTCTTTATACCAGCTAAAGAACACTTTAACAAAAGACCATTGTTATGCAAACTATATAAAGGTTTTTATATAAAGATTTTTATATAAAGATTTTTATATAAAGATTTTTATATAAAGATTTTTATATAAAGATTTGA